GAAAGAACCGGAACAGCAAAGTTTAAAAGTAGAATGGATTTTATTTAACGACTAGCTTGAGTGGAGTCTTGAACAGGAATGAAAAGTTTTTCACCGTTGTTTATTTAAGAAAACTTAGGTTGCTAGAGGTGACGTTCGGTCTCCAAGGAGGTGATCAGCACACTGCGTTACCGATTTACTCCAACACCCCCCCCTGAATCGGTCAGTCCTAGGAGGGTCCTCAGTTCGCGGAAACGTCCAGGTTCCAGGGGCTTGGTGAACGTGTCCGCTATTTGGTTTGCTGTATCAATTGCTTCGATTTGAAGTCTTCCTTGTGCCACATGGTCGCGCAAAAAATGGTGCTTTACATCGATGTGCTTGACACGCTTGCTTTCAGTGTTTGTGGCCATTGCAATGCACCCACGGTTGTCTTCGTACACCTTGAATGCCGTGTCCGGTCGAACTTGCTTCAGGTCTTCAAGGTTTCCGTGCAGCCACAGCCCTTCGGAGGCCGCGGCACTTAAAGCTGCATACTCGGCTTCACACGACGACAGTGCAACGGTTTGTTGCTTGCGGCTTGCCCAAGACACGGTGTTCCCAAAGACCTTAAAGACGAAGCCACTAACGGATTTCCTATCCTCAGCATCCGATGCCCAGTCAGCGTCTGCGTACCCGACAAGTGCCTCGGCGTCGTCGTTTTGCTTGTACTGGAGCTTCAAGTTCTTCGTTCCCTTCACGTAACGGATCACTCTCTTCAGGGCTTCCCAGTGGGCCTCATCAGGTTGAACTTGGAAGCGCCCTAGGTATCCAACAGCGTAGCATATGTCCGGTCGAACACACAGCATCGTATACATCAGGCTGCCCAGCAATTGACGGTATGGATGCGACACAGGATTCGCAGCTTGTGGTGGCAGGAAACAGCCTTTCTCCATTGGGGTTTTGACATGGTTACAGTCTTGCATGCCGAACTTCGTCAGCACACGGTCCACAGCAGCTTCTTGCGCCAGGTACATGCATCCGGTGGCGCGGTCGTATCGGATCTTCATTCCAAGGAAATGATTAACCACGCCGCAATCCGTCATCTGGAGCTTCTTGGAAAGAGCACGCTTGATCTCCTTCACCAGGTCCAGTCGATCGCCAGCAATGAGCAAATCGTCCACGTAGATGATTATGTATACCCCCCCTCGATCGTCGATCCTGGTATATAGACAGTAATCATGCCGGGAACGGGTAAAGCCGAAATCCAGTAGAAGGTCGTTTAGCTTGTTGTTCCAACAGCGGGGGCTTTGCTTGAGTCCGTACAGCGATCGATCCAGCTTGCAAACGAAGTTCGGCGGTGCTGCAACTCCTTCGGGTATGGCCATGTAGACGTCTTCTTCAAGCTCACCGTAGAGGAATGCGGTCTTCACATCGAGTTGGTGAACGTGCATCCTTCGGTGGGTTGCTACAGCAAGAACGGTTCGTATCGTGGCTAACTTTGCTACGGGGGAATATGTTTCGTTGTAGTCGACTCCGGGCTTCTGTTGGAATCCCTTCGCCACCAAGCGCGCCTTGTAACGGATCGGTTCGCCATGCTCGTCCGGCTTGATTCGGAAGACCCATTTCGATTTGAGCGGAACCACACCAGCAGGGCATCTCACCAATCGCCAAGCATGGTTGTCCGCTAGCGACTGCAGTTCCTCACGGACCGCTTGCTGCCAAAGAGCTTCGTCGGCTCGTCCAGCGATCTCCTTGTACGCCTCCGGGACATCGAAGATCGAACGCTCGGCCTCATCTCGTCCAACGGAACTGTCAAATAGTACATCGGAAACGTTATGGGGAACATCTGCAGAATGGGATTGCGCGGCAGTGAAAATTTTTCCAACCAGAAATTCTTTCAACTTACCGGGGAGTCTGCGCTCCCGTTCGCTGCGCCTCGGGGTTTCCATTTCGAGGTTTGAACCACGGTCTAGTTGCGAAGGGAGCGCTCCGGTTTCTTCAACACCGTCGTCTTCAACCTCGCCTTCTTCATCATCAGTCAGGATGTCGTCATGTTGAGCCACCAGCGGCTCATCGGGTTGAACGGACTGTTCAGGGGTTTGCACGTCTTCCTCATCTTGATCCTCGAACTCGTACGGAGCAACAACCAAAGGAGTTTCGTCACGGATCTGGGTGGCAAACGGAAAACTGTTTTCATCGAACTTGACATCTCTGGCTAGGAATAACTGCTTCTTCTCTTTGTTCCACAGGCGGTAGGCGTTCGGCGCATAGCCGATCATCACAGCAGGCTTGCTTTTCGGAACCAGTTTCTTCCTCTGTGCCGTGGACACCCAAGCAAATGCTTTACAGCCGAACACACGTAGTTTACTAACGTCCGGCTTGTGACCAGTCCACATTTCCGCAGGAGTCTTCCAATCAGATACCGCGGTGGTTGGACTTCTGTTCGTCAGGTATACCGCCGCTAGAACCGCTTCATTCCACAGATTCTTCGGAGTTTGGGCTTCAATCAGCATTGCACGCACCTTTTCGACGATTGTCCGATTGAACCGTTCGGACACTCCATTCTGCTGTGGTGTGTATGCTGCGGTTGGCTCGACTTGGATCCCCTTGGAAACGTACCAATCACGCTGGTCATTGGAGCAATACTCGCGCCCTTGGTCGACAGTCAGCTTCGACATCGAATGTCCCAGAGCGGCACTCGCCATGGCCTCGTACTCTCGAAACTTCTGGAACACCTCGGACTTCTTCTTGATGGGATATACTACTGCAAAGTGCGTGTAATCATCAATAAAGGTGACGAAGTACCGAGAATCATCCCAAGCCGCTGGTGTAATTGGACCGCACACATCGGAGTGCACTCGTTCTAGAGAGGTCTTGTAGCACGGACTCTAGTACCCGTGAATGGTTCTCGGCACTGCTTTCCGAGAACACAAACTTCACAAAAATCCAATTTATCTGGTTTCTCGGGAATACCTGTTACCATGCCATGCTTCGCGAGTGTCTGCAAACTCTTGCTCCCCAAATGAGCCAGTCGACGATGCCACAGGTTACCAGTCACAGCTCCACACATGTTGACCGCCACCGTATCGACACGGAGATCGAGCTCGTAAAAATCGCCCCGCATGGGACATCTCGCAATCAGGTCACGACCTTGCTTCATGATCGCTTCCTTTTTCGTGAATGTGACATCAAGATCCGCTTTTGCCATCTTCTTCACAGATAGCAAGTTCGCTCGAAGATCTGGTACGAAGAGGACGTTCTTCAAGCTGATATAGTTACCTTCCTTGTTGACGCCGTTGATCGTGCCACTGTGCCGGGAAATCAGGGATTGATCATCCTTCGCCACGTTTATGACGACAGGGTGCTTCAGCTTCGTGAGGTCGGCGAAACAGTGCTTCACATTCACAAGGTGGTCCGAGGCTCCGGAATCCAGCTTAAAGGAAACTGCTCCCTCGTCCTTTGTTTGGGAGCATCTCCCGGTCATAAAAGCCACCGCCTTACCTCCAGCAGCAGCGTTAGCTTCAGCGCGCCCATCTGTCTTCAACTTCACACGACAGTCCTTGGCCTTGTGCCCCTTCTTCTGGCAACGGTTACACTTTCCGGTGAACTTACCAGGCTTCTGCTTCGATCCTTGGAATGCTGCAGGTTTCTCTTGGCAGGAATCCGCTGCCCGGTCGGTTTTCTTGAGCTCCTAGGTAAGAAGGCGCTCGCGAACAACATACAGTTTTAGGTTTTCCTCACCTAGATTTTCCAGTGCCGTAACCAACGGATCGAACGACTCGGGAAGGGTAGCAAACAGCTGGGACACAATATCGTTCTCTTCAAGCTTCGCTCCGTCCAGCTTCAGTTGTCGGATCAGCTCTTCGAAGGTTTTCAGGTGATCTTTCACAGACGAACCTTCCATCATTCGTAGCTTCGCAAGTTGCTTCCTGACGAATGTCTGCGACGAGACGGACTTCTTGGCGTAGGCGGATTCAAGGTTCATCCACATCTCCTTGGACGTCTCCTTGTCCCGCACCAAATGCAGCAAATCGTCATGAACAAATGACGTCAGCAGGAACGCCGCCTTACCGTCATCTTCCTGGAACTTCGTGAGCTCGGCCGCTTCCATCGGAGGATCCTTCTTGATGATATCCAACAGCTTCACGGACTTCAGATACTTCTCCACTCGAAATTGCCAATTGTCGAAACCGGTGCCCGAGAACTGCGGGATCCCGTGGACCAAATCCTTGCGTGAGTCGCCCATAACCTCTTGATGGTTAGAAAGAACCGGAACAGCAAAGTTTAAAAGTAGAATGGATTTTATTTAACGACTAGCTTGAGTGGAGTCTTGAACAGGAATGAAAAGTTTTTCACCGTTGTTTATTTAAGAAAACTTAGGTTGCTAGGGGTGACGTTCGGTCTCCAAGGAGGTGATCAGCACACTGCGTTACCGATTTACTCCAACAATAAACATAATATCAACGAATGATATAACGAAGCACAATTTCTCATATTTAACGGAAACGTTAATTCGTTATCATGGGGCCTCCCTTAGCTCAGTCGGTAAAGCTGCAGCTACAAAGCAAGACCATGCTGGAGGTGGCTCGGTTCGATTCCCTTTCCGGTCTGCACATTTTTCGGGTTGGAAAATCTGTCGACTTTCCTGGGCATAGAGTATGGTACAGGCATCGAAAGCTCTCAATTAATAACTGTGGAAGTGCATCTAGAACACTAAGTTGAGAGCACGCAATAAGCTAATATGCAATAAGGAATAAGCTTGAAATGCGAAGAAGAAGAATTCGTTATCTTAAAATTAACGCCGTTGATGAACGGTTAACAATTTAACGATAATGTGCCCACCACTGAGTTTTAGTAGGGTGGCGATTCTGCCCCACTTTTCCCTAATCCATCAAGCGTCTCCATGATATCACTCGTTTAGAGGTATTGAATATGAATGGAAAAATCCTTATTTATTAAATGAGCAAAAGAAATTGTAATTCAGCAACAGAAGCAGCCATCGTGATGGAACACAAAACTGACCAAAAGGTAATCCTTTTCAGGGCGCCAAAATCACACTTGCCTCGCACTTTGACTATGAATACGTTCTGGGCCACAAAATAGCGTTCCTGTGCGTAGCTCGCGGCACACCCAGGCCGACGATCACGTGGTTCAAGGATGGAGTGGAGATCTTCAGTCACCTTTATCTGCATGTGCGTACTAATCTAATCAATCTTCACTGATGGTAGAAAATTGCTAACATCCCTCTCAATTGCAGGTTCACGAGTGGTACATTGGGAAGGACAAGGTAAAATCCAAGATAGAGATAGACCCCGCCACCCAGATGGACGCCGGAGTGTACGAATGCACGGCAGACAATATGTACTCGATCGACCGGAGGAGTTTCAAGACGGATTTCTCGATTGCGTTCGATTAATGCTCGATCGCCCTGTGCCATGGACTGTGTTTCTAGTGATAGATTACTACTGTAAAGATTAAGGCTATGTGGTGGTGTTACGGTTCTTATTGCTTCCGTTTGTTAGACAGATTCAAAGCTTAACTAATCAGAGCAGCACATTTTTTTAGGTGTCTCACAAGGTCAATTTGCTGCCCGAAAATAAGAGAGAAAGAGAGACAAAAATACATATCAATAATATAAGGAAATGCTCCGGATGTCGTAGATCCCTTGATTCCGATTGTCCTCGTTTGTTCACACCCATACGCGAACGTTGTTGTCCCAACTGCAGGACGCCATTGCCATTCCGTTCGGAGCCATGCAAATCGATGTGACGCGGTTCTCGTGGCCGCTCAGGGTGCCTAAAGTGGAAGATTTCCAAGACGCTCAATTCAATGAAGGATGTTAAACAAAAAAAACACACTATTGTGGCTTACCATTATGCTGTCCCTTCATGGTGTCCCAAATGTGGACGTTGTTGTCGTCTGATCCACACAGAATGTATCGTCCGCTCAGAGATAATGCTGTGGAGAGGGAGGAAGGGAGTAGGTGTAGTTGGTAACAAAGCAGATTGTACTTTATTCTATAGGTTAATTCGGTCGTTCTCAACCCTTCATTGATTGCTATATAGCTTTGTGGAGTACTTCAATCATGTGATGCACTACTTAAGGTAGGGCAGGTATTGTGTATGCATCGGAATAAATAAGGTAATAAATCACAATCCTGTGAAAGCCACCAGCAGAAGCTGTCAAAGGAAATTAAATTTCAACAATTTCAATTTAATATAAGAGTTCCTAATTTGTATGATCGTGTTATTTTACAATTTGTATAGGTAAGAATATGTGCATATCAACATTCTATGCAGAGTCTCTAAGTGGATATTATTTGGACAGATCAACTGCGAATATGAGTGAAACTAATTCAACTTCGTTCGCTGGGATTCGTAGTCGGCAATCACGAGTTCCAAATTTAACATTTCATTCGGGATCTGAGATCTTTTGTAACATGATCGCGAATAATGGTTTGATTCATTTCTGCTCTCAACTATTACTGTTCTTGGAACACTTCCACAGTTAGTAATTGCATAATGATACTCAATGAAAACATTTCCAACTCGAAATATCTTCTTCTTCTTCGTCGGATTTCAAGCTTATTGCTTACTAGCATATTGCGTGCTCTCATCTTAGATGCACTTCTACAGTTATTAATTTAGAGCCTTCAATGCCTGTACAATTTTTGCATTAGTGTAATTGTGTGGCAAGTACAATCGTTTTTCAAACCCGAAAAAAAATCCAGGGGGCACTCCTCACCATCGCTCATCAACGGATGAATCTGGTAAAGGGAATGCTCAACCCGATTCGTACCTTCCTCAAATTGTCCTTTGCTCGCTTTCTACTTTCTATATACAATTTTGATACTACCGTACTATTACGGAACTATCAACTGTACACTTTCATCTCTGCATTTATCGTATAAAATGTCTTAGGTCCAGTTAGGGTTTGGGTTCCCCAAAGGTACCTAGAACTTGTCCGGATGTTACCAATGTTATTTATCAAATGATGGGCACTTAATATAACTTCCATTGAACTAGGTTTTGAATTCTGGTGTGATTTAAGGTGTCGCATGATAAGTTTTGGATCAAGTCAGAAACAGGTTATTTCCCTGGGGGTACCTTGAACATGTCCAGATATGACCAATGTGGTCCTGGGTATTTCATATAGCTACAATTGAACTTGGTTTTGAATTCTCATACTCATTTCTCTTCATTCTCATCACTTCAACTAATTTTGGCTTAAGTTAGAAACTGGTCACTTTTCCGAGAGAACCCGGAACATGTCTGAATGTGGTCCATAAAATCCACACATTCGTTGTGCATAGAACAACTGTTCACTAATAATTCCTTACCGCACGATGTGAATCCACTGCTCTTGTTTGGAGGTTCGTAGTGTCCAATCTGCTGGTCAGACCTGAAATCGAACAATCGAGCCGTCTTGTCCTCCGATCCGGTAGCAAATCCAAATCCACTTGGGTGGTACTGCAAGTAGTATTTATGATTGTCAAACATGTGCCTTGCGAAGTACCTGTCTGTATCATCTACCAAAGCCAACTTACGGAAACACTATTGACGTCCGCTTCATGGCCAAAGAATGTTTGCTTCGGCGTCGATTCTCGTACATCCCACAGCTTACAGGTGCGATCGACCGAACCGGTTACATAGGTATTCTTGTCTGGGCTGAGCGAAATCGACACCACGTCACCGGCGTGGGCATCAAACTCGGACGTCTTCTTGCCCACTTGCAGATCCCATACGCAGCTAAAAAAGAAAATCTCCCATCATTCAAAGAACGCTCCAAACTCTCCAATCACTACTTACATCTTCATATCACCCGATCCTGTTAGCACATGGGTGTCGTCCAAAAAGCGGCACGAACTCAAGAAACCCTCGTAGCCAGCCAACTCACGAACGATTTTTGCATTACCCTGGGCATCGCGGTTGTTCAGATCGTAAACTGTACACATGTTGTCCATGCCGCCACAGGCGACGAAATTGCCCGAATCCGCGTACGCCACACTCATGACCCATGCCGACCGGAGGGGAATTACCTGCACCTTGTTGCCAGTCCAGGTGTCCCAGATGATCAGTTTGCCATCCAGCGATCCGGTGACGCAGTGGCGCGAGTCACCGGCAAAGTGTACCGAGTTGACCTTGTTGATATGACCTTTGAGATACTTCTTCGTGCTGATGCGTACCTTTGGCGCATCGCCCATATCCGAACATTTGTCCTGGAGGGTGCAATCGGCCGCTTTCTTTTGTTCTTCCTGTTGAGGTCGGAATGAAGGAAAATTATCGTAATTGGATCGAGCGGTATGGTTTGCTCTATTGAATTAGTTGGTATCAGCGCGAGACGCAAAGTGAAATAGCTCATACTAGAATCCCACCATGTGCCTCGGGAAGCACGTGACTAGTGTAAGGTTCCCTCTTTGGATATTAGATGTGAGCTTCCAAAGGTAACATCATATTTGTCTGCATGTCAAACGGACAATCGATCAGTTGATTCGAGTAGTGTAACACGACATTTACACATAATGCAAGCAACGGTTAAGATTGATGAAGGTTTACAGGTCGTGCAAATGGTTTGATCACAGACAAACAGACGTAACTCTTTCTCCTCAATAGCCGTACATTTGACGTTCAATTTAAATATTATTAGTTGGGCGAATCCCTCACCCTCAGCGAATCACTTTGAAGTTTCTATATCTAGCTTGCGTGTAACATCTGCGTATCCTGATGAATATGGGCGTCTTACTGGAATACCTGTATAAAGAGATAGAGAGGAGGGTTAGTAATTTCCGTTTAATTCCACTACCTTATTTGTTTATCCTTGACGATACGCGTATTTCGTCTACAATGTGCTGACTTCTTCAGTGGTTTGTACTAATACTCGACTAATACTTGCAGTCGAGTATAATTAGTACAAGACACTGAAGAAGTCTGCATATTGTAGACGAAATACGCGTATCGTCAAGGGAAAGCAAATAAGGTTGTGAAATTAAATGGAAATTACTAATCCTTCTCACTCTCTCTGTTTACGTAGTTAATGAACAGCCCCTTAGTGTGATGATATATTTAAGGAATTATTCAAAGAGTTACGTCTGTGTGTATGTGGTTTGAAGTTCGTATGGGGATTACTACACTCTAAAAAATCACCACGTCCGATTTGCGTGAAATATCACGTACCTGATCTGTATTTAGAAAATCTCAAATGTTACGTGACGTTAGTAACTTTGACCTACATTACACGTCATGTCCACTAAAAATGTTGGTAAAATTGCCCGTTTATTCACGCAGATTAAGTGTATTTGTGTTTGTGTGTTTGGGACTTCGATATTTCCGCGAAAAGAGATTTACGTGATTTTCAGGTACGCAATAAAATCAATATGGCGTCACCGGGCGTGGTGGAGCTTGCTGCAGATGTTGGACGGTAATTAGATTCTTTAACATTAATTTATTTATGATTATATGTGGCCTTTTCTAGTTTTATAATTTCAGACGGTGACATCATTTTGAGTCTGCAAACAGGTGTTAATATTTTGTCAGAAATAAAACTCATACACGTTTCTACCTTATAATAATCAATTAGTCAATATTTTACAACTGTATGTATATATCTATGTATTAATTTAAACACGTGAAATTTATATCTTCCCGATAAAATTGCATAATATTGACTGTTTCTTCATATAGGGGAAACGCTCCTATAGTTGCGGTACGTTAGAAGCGTTAGGTTCCTATAGTTGTGTATGGAGTCTCCATACACAACTATAGGAACCTAACGCTTCTAACGTACCGCAACTATAGGAGCGTTTACCCTACTTTCCATTATTATCATTAAAATTTCACGTACAAATTACATGAAAAACATTTTAAATAAAACGGAATGTCACGTAAAAGTTACCAGATATCCAGTAGGTTTCACCCCGATTTCACGTTAGCAGTACGTGGAAATCAGGTTTTATTTACCTGACTAATCAACGCAGTTAATTGAAGCTGAATTTTCATCGGCAACGTGCAATTCCGGTAAAAGTAACGTGAAAAATAGGGTGGACGAAAACAACCTATGTTTTCACGTCAATCGGACGCGAAAATTTTTCAGAGTGTATGGAAGCAGTTTAAATCTTACAAAATATCGCCCTAACTTTGGTTCTAGTTGACCAAACACTGTAAAAATTTAATAAGTGGTTCCTACGACGCGATGCGGCGTGACTTGTCGATTCAGCAACGAATTGAAGTGAAAGTGTAAAAAACGAAGGAGACAGATTCTGAATCATTGTAGAGGCTGTTCATAAACTACGTAGACAGATTAGGGAGGGGGGAATTTAAAAAAAATGTATGGACAATTGTCTACGCAGGGGGAAAAAATACGGTCTACGTAGTTAATGAACAACCCCCTATCCGTCAATTTAAACAAAACTTTGTTTCAAATTAAATGAAATAATGAACCGAAAAAAACGAAATAGCCTGTAGCAAAGTCGTATCTGACAGGAAGCATATGTTCATCGTGACTCAATGACAAGTAGCTGAATATATGACACGAACATGATCGAAAAAAATAGAATGTGTGGTGAGCAAGGGTTATTCAACTCTGCACACCAAAATCTGTGCCAGTTTTGGCAGTGCCGAAAGTTGTGCCAAGCGTTTTGCCGATTATCCCGAAGTAGGCCGAAGATTGTGTTTACATTTTCAATTTCTTTAATTCGTGACCATGATTCATGGCAAATATTAAGCTTCATTATTAATAGAATGAGAGCAGATTGGGCAGTGGAAGAGGAACTGAAAGCAATACAACCTATTCGACCCGCACACAAGAAGCGAACGATATATGAAATTTTCACCATCTGCCAGTAAAATGCTCCCCGCCCAAATCAAACCCAGAACTCGAACGGACGAAAGTTCACTCCCACCTTAGAAACAACATCCTGGAAACAGTTCTGATGGATTCAGAACTACGCAACCTCGAAGACATCGCCAAGCCTATAGTATCGCAGATTATGATGTCTACTACCATCACCCAATTAGACACGTTCAAGCCTATCAAGTTCACAATCCTTTGCAGTGAAAACCATCAAATCAAGACCAACAATTAAAATGGCCTTAACTCCATTTTGTAAACAAACCTTGTAAGGCCATTTTCTCGCGAACCGAAACCTACATTTTCAAACCTAAACCACAATCGGGTAGAGGAGAATTTCTCCTACCTGTCCATTATGTTGGTTTGCCTTTTCGGACTTCGGTTCGCGAGAAAATGGCCTTACAAGGTTTGTTTACAAAATGGAGTTAAGGCCATTTCAGTTGTCGGTCTTGAAATGTCCCCCCACTTCATATCTGTCATGCCTCGGAAATGCTACATGATCCAGATAAACTTCGCATCTGCAGTTCAACTGAGATTAAGCAAGGCCACCCATCGCACCGCGTCCTTTTGAGACGAACTAGTGCAACAGAAGAATGCAGATTAGATCGTTGATGATGGGGTGTACTCACGGAATAGAATGTAATTGCATTTTTGATTGCATTGATCTGTTCCTAAAAGTCCTATACTGTTTCGCTAAGGCAATCGTCCAGATCTGATGGAATATTTGAGGTTAATACGTATCGACATCCCCCAATAAGTACTGGGACTTGTATGAACATCCCTATAAAGTCCTGTGAATTTCCCATCAAAGTCCATACCAATTGAAACCAATGGCTGCCAAGGATACCTAAGGAAAAACGTAGGAGGAAACGATAAAATTTTCATCCCGGAAGACTCTTGGCAAGACCGGGATTCAAACCTGGCCGAAATACAAAACCCATCACCCACACCCCCTATGATGTGGTTGATTTTTTCTTTGTCGTTCGTTCTGCATAACAACCTTGTAAAACAAAACAAAAATCCTCCGCAGCTGGCACAATATTGTCGTCGTTCAGAGGATTGTAGTCCATTCAGTTCGCCGATTGCATTTCGCACCGTACCGTCGTATTGGATGATCTTACAGGTATTTGACCAACCATTGCTGGAAGGAAACCCACTTTGGCCATCTTGACTGTCGTATCGACCCTCTCGACCGACCATGGTGTGGAAGAACCAAGGGGTAGGTCACTCCGCACACCAATCTTGGGTCAACAATTTTCTCTGTGTTTCGCAAGTATACCGCTGGTGTGCCGATTCTGCCGTCAGTGCCGGGCATAGAGTAAGCTGCGATTTTTCAAAACATACGAATATATTTGGCAATCCAGTATTTCTGACAGCTTGAATGTTTAGGTTTGCAATCGCAACGGCCCCAATAAGGCTCGATAAGGATTTCTTCTACCGACAAATAAAACGCCTCTACACCAGCTGGACGGTGTAGACGAGGAAACCATCCACAGCAAATCAACCTCGTTGAAGATCTGGCTGCGAGTTGATCGAGATACGATTACGGTGCTGTGCGAAAAGTCAATCTTTTTTCTGACCAGCAAGAAGAAGGTCGATTTCCTGAAGTAGATCGAGAAGAACGGTTGGTTCGGGAAAGAACGACAAAGACGATTAAGGGATCCAACCATGGCAAAAACGTTGGACGTCTTCTCCAAGGAAAACTTCCCGGGGGAATTCTGTGAATCGTGGCGAGCCTTCACCAAGGACAAGAGCTTCGACACGGTGGACATCAGCGTCCCAATCGCGTACATCATGCCCTCCAAGGAGGACTCCGAGGTTATCACCATCGGTAGACGTATTGAACAAGTACCTCAAGGATCACATCATGGAGATTATAGATGCTGATAAGAAAGTAAAACATATCAAACTGTCGGAGGGTGTCGAGCAGGCACTGACGGACAAAAGGTACGTCTTCAGTTGGACATGTGCTACCCGGTGATTATCCAGTCGGGTGGCAATTACAGCTTGAAGTTCAGTTAGCGTTCAGTACATTCAGCGACAAGAACTATCTGCACTTTGGATCTATCATCTGTGCTCTGGGGGTGCGCGTTACAAGTCCTACTAACGTTGCTGGTCAACCCGACGATTCAGAAGCACTACACCTTACTGCTCAATCTGGAAGAGGAACTGCTGAAGGTGATGATTCCGGACAAGAAGGTCTCGGATGTTTTCGACGTCGGAATGGTTTATGCCAAGCTAAGACGTTCGGTTTCACCATCGGGTTGAAGTTCCGGGAGAATGCGATCGTAGGATGTACCTGAACAAGTGAAGTTCAGTTTAAAAATTGTAAGTTAATTAGGTTGAGTTGAAGCAATACAAATTCCGTGTAATTGTGCCGTGAAAATTAGTTCGGCATTGTTCAAATGA